GGAAACATTCTAGATGTTCCTATGGCTCAACGTCTTCGCCCGCAGCAAAAGAAATAACGGAAGATGAGTGCACTGCCACTGACTGTCGGCGATCACGTCAGGTGCGTTATCACGCCCTTGGGGGAAGGGGTCAATTTAATCCCAACCCAAGCTTTCTCCAGAATGTCTTTTTGTAAGACATTTTCCCACCAACACCGCAATGCACAACTTGTGTGGCCATTTCCCAGCCAAGCAAGGTGTTAGGCCGGGTGCTGAGGTGGTCACGTGAGCAGGTGTTTTACCGATGTTCAAGGCGACGCGTAGTGATAACTCGGAAAACAATTATCTTGATAGTATGTTGGATGTGAAGATTAGCGGTGCAAAACTGCACCAGAGTTTGCGAGCTTCATAGGAGGATCCTTGCTTGCGAGATGTAAACATTGCCTGTGACGAATATCATGCGCCATCATCGTGTCTACGATAATCACAATTCTTGGAGTACGCCACCAGTAGAGGTCAGACCGCACGTGCCCTTCAGAAATATCACTGATGCGCCTTCCTTCAAGATAAGCGGATGCCAAAATTGAAAAGGTGCGTGTTAAAAGACAGGTCTGTATTAACACATTTATTTCGTGTCCTAAGAACTCGTTCGGAAACATCACAGGTCGTCTGTTCTTATTAGACACCTGATCAAGAAAGCCGATGCCACACGGCATCGAACGATGGTTTTTCTAGTTAGTGAAAATGTGTTGCCCTTTCTTGAGACATTTCCTCCTCCCCGAAAAGTCGTCTGATTCCTGATGGAGTCGTTCTATGACCGGCCAGGCGCGGGTTCGCCATTCCGCCGGTGACGCTGCATCCGCCTTACTTGCGTCGGGAGACGTCATGGACCAATGCTTCGACACCCGACTCGATTGCTGCTTTGTCTTCACCCAGGGTGGCGGTATATGTGTTGAGTTCCTCCGTGGTGACGCAGTCGTCGCCGTCGGTGTTCATGGAATTAAACGCATCCGTCAGAGACTGGTGGGTGTGTCCTGCTGCTCACGTAACAGGAACATTAGCCGTGGCGGCCACGACCAGGCACAGGACCAGGAGGCCAAGACGGAACATAGCGACGGAAGTTGTCTGCGCTGGCTGCTGGCAAGGTACTGATGATACGGCACTGAACCATCGTCTTAAATAGTCCAGAATGAGCCAACTGGGGGCCATTTGTGCCATCCGTGGCAGCAACAAGTTTACTAACCGACACGCAATTCACCTTCGCACTGTCACGCTTGTACGACAAAAGATCTCAACGCACGGTTTTAGATGTGAATATGCGCTAATGTTACAGGTTCCCTGTTTTCTACTTGGATATCTACTTGGATATGGATTGGATACTTGGAATCCGGGTGAAACCATCCGGGTGAAAAAAATAAAGTGCTAATGGGGTCTATGTCACAAGCGCAATGGCTTTCTGAGACCAGAAATAGCGTGTTTTACATCTAAAGGCACTAAATATTGCATTGCTGTTTGGTACATTGACAAAGCATACAGAAATGTTGACTTTGATAAAGGAGACCTGACCGGGTTATGCATCAGGGGTAAAAAGTAGCATCGCCGCAAGCCAATGCAGGCACTGCGGTATTATGAAAAGCGAACGCAGAAAAAGAAACATGTTCGCTATGTGCGGTGGAAGGAAGGAAAATCAAAAAAGTTATTTTCTTTCTCTTCCTTTTTAAAGTATCATCGTAAACCGATGAAGAGAGTTTAAGCAAACCTAACATAAACTCACGAACATTTAAAGTGGAGTGCGGCATGATCCTTCTCCAGCCCGGCATGTTATCACATTCTGCCTAGCATCCAGAGCCGTATACAGGATTTGCGGATGGAGGTGGCGGAGTTTTTGGAGTTTTTCCTGAATACCCAGTTAAACGCGCCTCAAACGCGTGAGACGTGTTGCGTGAAACGTGTGCTCTCAACCTACGCATTCTGACGTATCCACTCATCACATTGTGTAATACGTATGTCTATATATACATATATATATATATATATATGTATATATATGCATATATATGTATATAAATGTATATATATAGACATATGTATATACTTACATATCTATATATATTTGTTAATTTAAGCGACTTTTATAGGTACATTTTTTATGCGAGGGGAAGGGAGGAACGAGACTTCGGGGTCCACTATGTGTCGACATAGTGTGTGCTTGCTTTCAGAGTCGAAAAAGTGGTTTTCAAATGCCGCTCTGCACCCACTGGCAATTGGGTTTTGCTGCGTGTTCCGGACGCTTCAAGAAAACCGCTCTGACCCTTACTGCCAATGCTAAATTCATCATGTGAGAACTTATCCTGCCGCATTATTTCTTTTCCACTCTGTAGTCGATGCGAAAGCTTCTCTTTAAAAATGCTGCCCTTTTCCGTAGGAGCTTGCTTTTGTATTGTAGGAATGCAATAACCCGCACATGCATGAACGTCCCGTAACTTATGTTCCGCTACATCTGTATAGATCCTTTTTCATTCCTCCACGCAAAGGGCCGCGAGGAATCATTCCGACTGTCACCATTGTTCAACATCTTCGCCCGCAACAAATGAATGAACGGAAGATGAATGGAATACCACCGACCGTCGCCGATCACTGCACGTGCGTTTTCACGCGCTATTGCGGCGCAGTCAGTTTGACCTCCCCCCCCCAAGCTTTTTCCACAATGTCTTTTTGTAAGGCATTTTCTCGCGAACACCGCAATGCAAAACTTTTTGGCCTTTTTCCAGCTAGGCAGGCTGGTAGGCCGAGTGCTGAGGTGGTCAGGTGGGCAGGCAATGTTTTGCCAGTGTTCAAGACGATGCGTAGTGATGACCCCGAAAACAATGTTAGCGTAACCCTTTCAGGCAACGCTTTAGTCGCTGATCACACCTTTCCTTACAGCACAACGTCTCTGAAAGGAAGACGAACTTTTCAGGGTGGAATGATACCTGTTTCGAATTATGTCATGCTGAAAGGGAGTGCTCCACATTTGTGTGCAGTTTTAAACCAGCACAGCCATCTTGACGATAGTTCGGTTAAGTTCACAGATAGGCTCTTTTCAGACCTAAACACGCCTAATTGCAAAGCTAAACGCCTGCAAAGATGTGCAGACTATTTGGGAGAGGTCACCCAGGCATCCATGCCGTCATAAGTTCATTGGTCTTTGAACGTCATTAATTTTATTCAGGCCTCCATACGTCACTTTCATTCAATAACTCAAGACAACGCGTGGTGATAACCTGGACAAAAGTAGAAACGTGTGTATTCAAATCTGGCGCTCGTAAGTGTGATTTCCAAACATAATGGGGATCAACTGGCTCTCAAGCAACTTTGTGCAGGGTGCGATGATGTCACTAACCAAACAAGGCCGTCTCATTCCTGATGGAGTCGTCCGGTGACCAGAAAGTCGCAGACTCGCCACTCAGCCGGTGACGCTGCATCCGCCTTACTTGCGTCGGGAGGCGTCATCGACCAATGCTTCGACATCCGACTCGATTGCTGCTTTGTCTTCATTCAGGGTGGCGGTGTAGGTGTTCAGTTCCTCCGTGGTGACACAGTCGTCGCCGTCGGTGTTCATGGCATTAAACACATCCGTCAGAGACTGGTGCGTGTGTCCTGCTGCTCGCTCGGTGGTGGGATTAGCCGTGGCGGCCACGACCAAGCACAGGACCAGGAGACCAAGACGGAACATAGCGACGGAGATTGCTTGCGCTGGCTGCTGGCAAGGTACTGATGATACGGCACTGAAAACCGTCTTAAATACGTCTAGAATGAGCCAACTGGAGGCCATTTGCGCCATCCGTGGTAGCAACAAGTGTACTAACCGACACGCCATTCACATTCGCACTGTCACGTTTGTACAACGAAATATCTCAAAGTACGGTGCCATCTGTGGAAATGCGCTGATATTGTGGTTCCTTGTTTTGTATTTGGATACATGGTGGTCTAAGAATTAAATTGCGAACTAGTTGTTTGTAGCTTTAGCTGCACCCATGTAGCAAAACACGTCATGTCATGATGACCCGTAGATTAAGTATAGGTTTGGTTAGGTTAGGTACCCGTAGAACACCGCTTACGGCAGGCAGGATTCTTTGCTTCATGCATAAGACAGCACTGATAGCTTTATTCCTTGTCAGCTAGCTTAAGAGAAAGGGGGGGAAGAGCGCATCAGTTGTTTCGGCAATATGCCGAGCGAAAGAATGATGAACAGTAAGTTTAAAATTGTCTGGCAGTCACGCTCGATTCTTAGATTTTTGTTTTGCGCTGCGAGCTGCAGTTTTAGGAGGTCGACAACATCCACGGGATTACACAAGATGCAGTCGCCAGTCATTACTACGAGCAGTCTATATCTCATTCACGATTAACAATAGGTGCACATGGAAGCGACTTAATGCAACTTCTCATCACGCCATACACATCAGGCGTTACTCACACATGCAAATGGTTGCCAGTTAGCACGTACTACCCGCGCCTGGTCTGAGACAGTCGCGCAGGGATGAGGAAAGTTGACTTAGCTCTGGGATGTTTAGCTTTCAGGTGTCGCACAGGGGAAATTGCGGTACCGTTTTGAAGGCATCGTCAATTGAGGAAGAATACGTACCAAACTTTTGACTTGGGTCAGAAGTGTGGTATGTGGTCTGATCATCCTTTTGCATGCATATTAGTATCACTTTCCTTATAAACAAAACGCGAAACTACAACATGCGTTTAAGATGCATGATTTACGACAACCTGACTTCAGCCTTACTTCAACCTGACAGCAACCTGACTTCAGGACACTGACCTCGCCTTTTTTCAAAAGTATGAGAAGTATAAACGGCAGGTACTCCTATGTTTCATAACTACAGCCAGGTTGAACACTTGTGAATGATTCCTTTAAAAGTTGGATCTTCAATCTTTTAGAGATTGACCTCCTTGACCTGACCTAGGTCACTAATCTTGGTAAATCAAACCTTAAAATTGGGGAAAAGGATGCCAAATTGATAGATTAACCTGCTCTAAAATTCCGTGTCGCTGCGCGTGTCCATTGTTGACCTGTGCTCGAAAAATTCCTTGGGGAAGTCCACTGCCCCCTGGCGGAACGCGGGTCAAGGCACGATGTTCTGTAATACAAACGTGATTTCTGACTCCGGTTATGGTAAAGCGACCTTATAGTTTGCAGAGAGTAGGTGCCTTATAAGAGTAGTGGGAGTTGTGCAGAGCCGATTGGTTTGAGCATGGTGTGCACATGTAGAGGCCCTGATGCCAAATTTTGTTCAATCTGGGAGGCTTCTGATCCCACGACCCTTATGAAATTTCCGGCCACGACAACTAATGCATGAAGTGCGTGATAAACGTACTTGGAATTTTTGAAAAAACTATTGAATTGAAAAATTGGATACTTTTAAACAGCGCAAAATGCGCTATGCAGGGATCTAGGGCATAGTTTTCGTTGGCTTAATATACAATTTTGCACTCAAGAAAAAGTGTAAAAAAATGCTTTTGATAAAGGAGACGTGGCCTGGTTATGCAAGAGGGGGTACAAAGTAGCACCGTCATAAGCCAATAAAGGCACTGCGGGGTTATGAAAAGATAACACAGAAAAAAAATATTCTCGTAAGTGCGGCTGAAGGAATGTAAATCAACAATGCTACTTAGAAGCGCGATTGGGGAAGGGAATCACCACCACCACCACCGGGGAAGGGAATCACCACCACCACCACCGGGGAAGGGAATCACCACCACGACCACCGGGAAAGGGAATCACCACCACCACCACCGGCGAAAGGAATTACCACCACCACCACCAGCGAAGGGAATCACCACCACCACCACCGGGGAAGGGAATCACCACCACCACCACCGGGGAAGGGAATCACCACCACCACCACCGGGGAAGGGAATCACCACCACCACCACCGGGGAAGGGACAACTGGGGGCAGTCGTCATGCGGAGCATGATGATCGTAAACGCAACGTTGCTGTCCATTTTTCACTTTTGTGTAATGAACGGCATCCTGAAAAATTATGCCAGGGACGAATCCAGGAAAGACAAAGCGTTATTAGCGTACTAGCTGCTACTGTTGTGTGCTTATGTGTACATAACAAACGCCTCCAACACTTTCCCTTACTTGTGCAGCCTACGGTGAGCATGACTCTGGATATGCGGAATGATGTGGCAAGTGTTTTTATTGCCGTTCCCTTGCAAATTCCTCACGGCTATGAATGAGCTGTGAAGATGTGGTATTAATAGCTGTTCTCGCCTAGGCTTCGAATATGCCATGGAGATGAAACACTGCTACTAAGCAAGTGCAAACGTTTAAGTTTTTGACCCCTCCTTCATTGGGAGAACGACTGGTAGCGAGATGCACACGGTTCGAAAAGCAGAAGACGACAAACAACCAAAAATACGCACTCTGTTAGAAGATTTATATAGATGATAGAAGCCCTGCGCTTCGCCGGGTAACTTCAGAGGTGATCAGAGTAGGCCTGTTACTTATGAATATATATATATATATATATATATATATATACATACTTCTATATATATATATATATATATATATATATACATACTTCTATATATATATATATATATATATACATACATATATACTTCTCGAGTGACTATATCATCGTTGGCATGTCATCAATCGCGAATCTCGGAGAAGCAAGTCTACTTTCGAATACATGAATAATGTTCCTCGCTACTGCACTGAACAGGTCACGCAATTTTTAACCTGAAGAGTAGAGTCAAATGGATCCTACGCAAATCCCTAGAGTGAAAACTGGTTCAACACAAATATAGCTCATTCTATCGTCTTGTTGCGTGATGCCTGTTAATGCTGGCTTTTAGCGTCAGTACAAAATCCGTCTGTTTTCTACGTGCCCAATCTGAGTCACTCACACACGGCGTCCGAACACACATGGATTCGATGGCTGGCGATGGTCAGTGCATCCAATGAAAGCCCACTTTTTGACTTTTGACACTGTCTTCTTACAAGCACTCATTACTTGCGCTCCTACTGGAGAATGAGCGCTGGATATCAGCGCTGAAACGTTTGCATCAATTATGGACTGCTTGAATCAAGAATAGGAATCAATAACCAGCAACCATGGTTACTATTGCTTTTCAATCAAATGGACCAGTTATACTGCACACATCAGTGTACTGCATTGCTCACCTCCAAATACACCTCAATGCGATAATATTACCATCGACATGTTTATATGCATTTAACAAAGTTGGTAATGCCTTGATCAATATTAAGAATCTTGCAAGCGAAATGGACGTGGACGAGTAACAGCAATGCGTTTAGGCTCAGTGCTTCATTTGGGACCTAAATGAGAAAGTCCATGTTCTTGCATTAAGGCTCCAATTATACGCAGCGGCATTCCATTATCACACTGGGTGCCGTTTAAAACTAACTTCGTTAATCATGGAACGCATTTATCAAGACGTTCCGCTAACTGCTATGTCAATTAAGCCGATGTCTAAAACTGCAGCTCCAAGTTTGATCTTGTGTTTTCATGCTGAAGGCTCACTTTGGTGCTTTAGCGTTGTGGAAATAAGGCATCCCTCAGTGACGTCACTGTGGCCCAGCCGCGAAGCAGCAGAAGCTATCCGCAAGCCCGTGGTAGCCTCTATTTGTGAGTGATGATATTTGATGCAGTACAAAAATATATACTTTGAAACGTAAACAAGCCTGAGAGTCCGTTGCGGGGGCTCTTGTGAGCGGAGACGTCTGGCACCTGGATGACGGTAACACTTGCAGTTTGTTACATACTACTAACCATTTCAAATGCAGCTTTGCAGGGAGGTGTCTTATATCAAAAGCAGTTTCCAAGGTGTTGTTAACATTTGCATGCGTACATTTGAACGTGCAGCCTGTATGGACAAATGGTTTAGCGTACTAGCCACCGCAACGTAGGAATGGGATCACGCTAGCCTATTTAGGTAAGTTAACTGATGCTTAAACGTGCCAAGTACATTATTTCAGGGCACTAAAGCCGCGCTACGAGATTAGCTAAGCGATAATATTAAACGAATAATAAGCTGTATGATAGCGTCAGCCTCAGGGCGACGTTTTACAACTGACTGGACGTGAGCGGCCCTAAGTTTCATGTTACATACAGTAGGTCTATCAGTGTGCGTTAGACGCCTCCACGAAATGTACTCCCAGTCTCCGACACAATCCGGCCCGTGCAGTTTGGGATGTCACCAAATCGGCGACCCGCCTTTTTCGAAATTCGGGGACCTGGTCCCTCTCTCTCCGTTCTTGTGTACATTTTGCGAGACTATCTACAAGCTAATCCGCATTCAAATTTGAGTATCCGAAGCCTCATTGAATGATGTAGCATGAAACCTTTCAAGGACATCTTGATGGCCGTTGACCTGTTTCCAGCGTGGAGTTAAGAGCAGAAGAGCAGCAGACGTTTCGTCCAAGCAAATCTTTAGTGCTGTGTGACGTATCAGTGCACTGGGGGCTAAGGCTGAAATTGCTGCTGCTGCCCCTGCTGTAATAATAACTATCTACGCAGGCATGAACGGCATGACAAAATCATTATATCTCACGCCAGGTCAATGAAATTTGTTGTTCTTCTATACTCGGTTGGTGCATTGCCTGAGAAACTATTTCAGAAATGTATGGCATCGTTTAGCACTCCATTGTCGCTACACATCGTGCGATTCCCTAGACATGGCCTATGCTAGACTCCATGGCGCAACTTTGACTCGTCATATGTCAGCAACCTTACAAGGTACATCTAATTTGTTATGCCAAAAGATCAAGTGTTCAATCGCAGATAGCTATGCAACGTTTGGCGCGGCTAGGCCGGTGATATTGTAGAAAATACCTCAGGAGAGCAGGGCAAATTGGCCCCGTCGCCTAAACGCATGATAACGCAGGTGTCGTGATCACCGACGGTCGATGGTAATGCGTTCAGCTTCCGTTCGTTCATTTGTTGCAGGCGAAAAAGTTGAGCAATGGTAACAGACAGAAGGCAGGCGCCCGAATAAACAGATGCATATATATATATATATATATATATATATATATATATATATATATATATATACATCATGCAATATGATGAGTGGAGAATGCGTCAGTTGAGAACACACGTTTCGCGCAAGACGTTTCGCGCGTTTCAGGCGCGTTTGACTGGATTTTCAGGGAAAACCTCCAAGAACTCTGCCACCTCCATCGGGAAATCCTCTATGCGCCCCTGGAATCAACCATAGTGCCACCTAGGATGACGTAACTTGCCGTTTTGGTGGAGGATCATGCCGCACTTAACCTTACATATTCGTGAGAGTTTGATTTAGGTTTGGTGGAACTTTCTCCATCGGCTTATGAGGGTACTTTATAAACGAACAGATGCATAGCAATTAAGCTAGACGTTTTTGCCATCAACAAAGTGCATATGGGTTTTTCTGGAGCAGGTGCACGTAATGCCAGATGTTATGGCGCACTTAAGAAGTATCTTATTTGCTATATGGTAGACAAATAGCTGTTAGGTAGAGGTGGTTCTCATTTTAATGGACACTGACGGATGATGATGAAGATAAAAGGAAGGGTACATTAAAAAACGGACTTGCCTCTCCAAGATTTCTGGCCCATCGACTGAGAAAATGCCAACGATAGTGCAGCCGAACGAGAAGCGTCAGTGAAACAGGTATACTTAAAGTCACCTCTGCAGTTGCCTGACAGAGAGGAAGGCCTATATTATCTACGTTACTTTTTGAACAGAGTGCGTCTTTCTCTCTGTTTGCCGTCTGTTTTTGCAGTAATAAACAGGAGGGTGGCTACAGTTTAGAGTTTTCAGACTTTTGAAAACAGGCGAGGTCAGTGTCTTAAAGTCAGGTCCATTGTTGTTATTGTCGTAAATCATGCAGCTTTAATGCATTTTATAGCTTTGCGGCTTGTTCATAAGGAGCGCGGTACCAATACGCATGCAGAACTATCAGACCATAGGACACATGATCTTGCCCAGGTCATGACCTTCGTCTACACGTGCCTTCTAATAGCATATGCTAGCCCCACAATAGGCAGTTTTTTGGTAACGTTGGACGAATAATTCCAATACACAA